TGATAAAAATCAAAATGAGTCTGTGCTGAGGAGATTATACCTGCTTACTACCAAAATAAACATTTTGAATTGAAATTCGATACATTCCCCTCTCCCAACGTTCATATACAGTAGAATTTGGTAAATGGTCACAATATGTGGTCACAATGGGAGGTCAAATGAAACAAGAAGAGTGATATCATCAATAAGAAAGCCGAATCTTTTTCACTTGATAGAAACTTTTGTCAGAAAAGTCAAGTAGTTAATTTGTAGATGACAGAACTGGACAAACCGAAGTCTCTACTGCAAAGTCGATCTAATAGGCCAAGGGAGAATGGTCAATGATTAGGTTAACTCAATAAGTCTTGGTGGTGCACAAATGTTTCCACATTATTTAATACCGACGTGTCATAGTGGTACATTTTACGTAGGTACCACTTAATCAAAAATTATTTCCAAACGCTACGCTAGCACAGAAAGTATACCACTTACTTATATGTATTACTGGTCATCTACTTTAACTTTTCAGGCAGTCACCACTTGTTGGGACAATACATGAGGGTTGTGTACTGTCATTGAGGTCAAAAACGCGTGGAGTGTGAAAGTCAAAACTTCTTTGGGTCTACTTAGTGGAAGATAGTTGAATTTTACTGAACATTTTCTATGAAAGTGATCATTTAATGTGTGATTGATCTTTACAAATACTGGTTAGTATAAAATTTACTTGTATAAAAAAAACTTTTGTCGAAAATCGAGGAGGTGTTATATTTGTACCACCGTGGCACACGCGTGTTTTCTGTTTAGAAAATTTGCCGTTCAGATTACAAGGATGGACTAAGGCGGAGATTTTACAAGAATACGAAAATCTTCCATCCGATCAGGAGTCGGTTGTGGATGATTTTGATAATCTAAATCAATTAGATGAATCTGAATATGCCGCAGAAGATAACGATAATTTTGAATTAGACATGCTGCCAAACGAAGAATTATCGAAATATTCAGATGACTCTGATGATTCTGAATGGAATATGCCATTGAACCAAGTTAGGACCAAAAATTTACATTTACGATATCAAGCTGACCCTAATTGGGGCCACAGCGTCAAAATAGCAGCACCACCTGATTTTATCCATTATTCAGGAATAACTGCTATAGCGCGAAACATTTCAAATCCCACCCCATACAATTTCTTCAAACTACTTCTGGACGATGAAATTATAGAAAACTTAGAGTTTTAGACGAATTTGTATGCAACACAAAAATATCAGAGATTGGGAAAAATATTTGAGCCTACAAATCTCACGGAAATCAATACTTTTCTGGGCATAAATTTGCTAATAGGGATCAAGAGCCTTCCTAGTTACAAAGACTATTGGAGCTCAAGCCCTGATTTACATGATGCATATATAAGCAAACTTATGCCACTCAACCGCTTTGGTTGGCTGCTAAATCATTTACATATCAATGATAATGAATTATTGCCAGATAGACTAGATCCAAATTTTGATAAACTGTATAAGGTGCGTCCCTTTCTCATTAAACTCTCCAAAAATTTTGAGCAATGCTTAGAACCTGATAAATGTGTTGCGATTGACGAATCTATGGTTAGATTCAAAGGCATAAGTAATCTCAAGCAATACATGCCAAAAAAACCCATCAAACGTGGGTATAAAATTTGGGCACTAGCAGATAAAAATGGCTATTTATACAGATATGAACTATATACAGGTAAAATGGTTGATAGAGTCGAAGAAAGTTTGGGTGAAAAAGTGGACAACGTATTTTTTTCCATTTCTTAGACGTATGTGTGGTCAACTCATATAGTGTATGTGGTCAACTCATATATTCTGTTTAAACTTCACCACAGACAAATTATTTCACATAAAGACTTCCGCAGGCAAGTAATTGATGGCTTGCTGTCTGCCAAATTGATCTCTTTGAAAACCAGATCAGATCATGATCCGATAGTTATTAAAAAACACAAACCAACAGTATCTGCCGAAGTGAGGCTGCAAAGTCCTGCTCATCAGCCGGTTCGTGAAACTAGAAGAAGTTGTGCAAATTGTAGTACAGGAAAAGCACAAGTGCGTACAGAATGGATGTGCTCTGTATGTGGTGTACCTCTATGTTTATCTAAAACTAAAACTTGCTTCCAAGATTTTCATGCAAAGGTAGTATTCGGCGGAAACTTTATTTTATCGTATCTGATTGAAACCATTGTTACAGGCATAGTGGTACATAGTATCACCCCCCCAGGAGTTCCTGAGCTCGTTGGTGACCAAAACCTATATTTTTCCAGATTTATATTCATTCAATAAGTGTAATAAAAGTTGCAAGTATGTCAATAACCAATATTTATTTTCGCGTGACGCATGGGTAATATACTGGGTAATTTTCTTGTGGCTGAAAGAGTTAACTGATCTTCATGGCGAAAGAAAACTTTAGCATAATTTAAATTTTTTCAGTTATGTTGTGTCCGATTGGAACTGACTCCACTTTCGTAGAAGTATAAAACTCATTAGGTGAGTGCAAATAACACACTCCAAAAGTATATTGGGGTTAACTGGCTAATCTTTTGTCTCTGTCGAAAAAAATAACTAGGCATTCTACCAATGGGTCATTTGATTTCAATGCCCCTGCGAAAGAGAATACAATGATTAGTAAGTATGTCTTAATGATTAAAGAATATTCAGTTACATCCATAATTCCATTTAATACATTCCATCATAGATAAATACATAGTAAAAATACATAACAAACTACCAATCCAATATCGCAAAGACCAACATCACAATTACAGATTGTCACAAAATTGGTACAAAACTTACAGGAAGTATTCACAAGCACTATGAGAAATTGAGAAACCATTTCAATAATATGATTCGAAAAACTTAATTCATAAAGATAATGAGTAAAATTTGATAACGTATTGCCTAGATACAATTATTTGGCATTCGAAACTATATCAGCACTGTCTTTGGGAATGACTAGTCAACAGACTAAAATAACACCTAATGATCCAATTACTGCTGATGAGTTATGAGTCGTTGTAGTTCGTCTACACTCGCTGGATGTCGCTGTAGGAACGTTCTGAAACAAAGAAATACAAAATATCAATACTGTTCCAAGAAAATTATTTGAAAAAATTATTATATACGATAATATCTTTACCAATTATAAACGTTAACACCCAATTAGTCAGTTAGTGATTTTGTCCAGAATAAATTAGCAGTTAAAGTGATCTTTAGAGATCAAGAGCCGTTATATTATAGCTGATAAAGATAAACTTTTGTATTTTTTCAAGTAACAGTTCATTGTGAGGTTTTCTATCCAGAACACGTGTTTCACTATACGATAGCTTCTCCACAAGTGTTCATACAGTTTTTCCATCAAGATATGAATTGCACGTTAAAAATATGCTTGGAACATATGCTAGACCACATCGTGGAAACACCAGCTTGAGAAATATAGAAAATTATGCCGAAAAAAAATACTGTTTTATCTTGTGAGAAAATGATGAAAAATTCAAAGGACGCTATCTGTTAGTTTACAGTGATCTGAGTTTCTACTAACCTCTGAATTTGAAGTAGTGACTCTTTCCATCTGGTGGATTCCTTTTCGATGTCGAATTCGTAGAATCCCTGGAGGATCGGAATGAGCCCATTGCTCTGAGAGATGGTGGTTGAACACAGAAAACGTCATCATTCATTCTGTATGAAGTGACTGAAGGGGCACCTAGGGTACTATCGTCGTATGTGCTGATATCGATGTCAGTCAAAACTGCAAAAAATAGTATGTTAAGAAAGTTGTATTCTGCCGAAAAGTTGGTTGTGTGGTGTTTCTTTTGATGAAATATGTTGTCAGTCAATGGATAAAATTATTCTGGAGGAAAACGGAAGGTAGGTTAATTATTTTTTATTATTTACTAAACTAGAATAGAATATGATTATGGACATATAGGTCGATTGCAAAATACAAATCATTGAATTATAAAACAGTATGAACATCTTTATGAAGAGTTTATTTTGAACTTTTTTTCATCTTTCTTCGGAAGCTCCTACATTCTTTGTAAGTAGGTGGAAAAGTAGAAAGCCAAAAGCCTGTTTACTCAAAAACCAAACTCTTTTGAAAAATATTTCCCTTTGAATTTATTTATCGCCTGTTGATCGAATCGATTGTTCAAGTTTTGATTTAGATCATTCGATTCAAAAATTCTTGCGGCAGATTTAGCGCATTAATTATTTCGATAATAGGTTTCAAGAATTTCTATCTTATTTAGAAGAAAATACAGGACAGAATCACCATTGCAGAAAAAACCTACACTTTTCACGAGTGTGTCAAATTTTCAACGTTGCGGAAAATTTAATGTTTACCGATGTTATCATAGTTACCAGTACATATCTTTGTGTAGATTCATGTTAAATGTTGAAGTAATCAGACGAATCCCATATTTCAATGATTTCTCCGGCGATATATAGTTATGCCGAATGGTGTCTCACTATTGACATCGCTTTTCGGGTGTTGATGTTTTCCACTACCGACCTGCAAGTCACTAGAAGGTTCATTGTATAATTGTCGGGGAGTGTAGGGCGATTTGTGGAGGCCGCTATTATAATTTTGTTGTCACTGTTGTTGTCTGTTGCCAACTTACTCAATGACAGAAACGATAGCCAATGTTGAGTTTCATACTTAAATGAAAGAGAGGCTTTTCAAATGGTGGGTATATATAATATGATTTGCTGATGCACACCAGTATTGAAGGTGTTGAAAGAAAACCATCTATAGTTACTTCTGGTCACCAGTCTTTTTGAAAAAGCTGGAGATTCAAAAACTGAATATATTGGACAAAAGACAACATCGAAGTTCAATTGGCACTTATTTCCAGCTGTACCAAAAACGCCGTTCGTAACTCAACTATTCTATACAAGAAGCAAAAAGCAATTATACTACTAGTGTTAATTTTTGCTTTCTCAAACCATCAGCTACGTGGATGATTCTGGGTCAAGTAGAGATAATCTAAAGTCTTGGTGATGTCACAGCTATGGATTTGTTTATAATGGATGAACCATTCGAAGAGCAGGAAAGTTTTGCCCTTTCGGTTAATTTACTTTCTTACTGCCCAGCAGTTTGAAAAAATTCTCTGGTTGTGTAATCATTCTTTGTTAGTTCTGTTTTTTTTTTGACAAAACACAAGCACTACAGAAACATCCTTAAAACGCTCTTAGACGGTGCCTGTGCGAAATAAGCGATTCGCGTTTGATTTGAGTCGCTAAAGATCAAATTCATTTGAGGAAACATTCTCAGGATGTTCATTCCACATAAACGCAGTTCCCAGCTGAAAAAGTTCTTGAACAGTGAAGTTTGAGGTGTCCTGAGTTAAATCTCAAAATGATGAGCAGTCACAGTCCGTCGCGTATTTCTGATATGTACCGTTCTTGGTGAAATCAAATGTGCCAAGTCACTTGAACACCTTCCGTGAAAGTATCTATCGAAGAGAGACAAATCTCCAACCTTTCTTCGATGTTCCAGACTATCAAGGTTGCAAGTGATGTTCGTGTTTCCAATCAGCTGGTGGCTCTTTTCTGGATGGAATTCAGAAGCTTGAGGGTATATTTGGGACGGAGCTCCATATATGAGAACTGTTTTATCCTGAAAGTTTTCAGGATCAGACCAAGGTGTGGAAATTAAAACACCGCTACGTTATTTAAACTGTTTAATGTCGCACTCCAATTGTCAACTGCCAATGTGTCCTGCTTATCGCAGGTCAACCGAAAAGGTACAAAAAAGGATACTGTTTTTATATGTAAAGATAAATGAGCAAACCAATATATGACAAGAACAATACTCCAAAGAAGGTCTGATCTGAGCTTTATGAAGCATCAAAAGTTGCTGAGGTCTGTACAGTTTTCTGATTTGGAACAGTTTTACAATCTTGTGAGAAGCAGCCTTTCCAATTCCAATAAATCGTCTTTACTCATCTTTGAACACACATTACATTGTAGAATAATTTTGCTGTCTTGAGATCTATCAAATTAATTGAATTCATAAAGTGATTGACTGGTCATTTCCAGTTCTGTAGATGCAGGGTTCGACATTTGTTAATCATAATCATATTGAGCGGATAATATGGATTTCAACTTTTTTTTGAAGTTTATCAGAGTATATGTACTGTAATCATGCGGAAGTTGATTATAGAACTTACCGGCATTGTACGTGAAGGATCTCTGAAAAATGGAGGTTTTATGTTTGTACATTTCTAGTAACCCCGAGTTACGAGTCTTAGAATCACTCAGAATCCCTATTTTGATTAGTTTGTCATATAAGTATGTTTCGGTACTTTATGAGTCATATCTAATATAAGTAATTCTCTCATATCTAGCAATTACAGTTTTCGCATTTTCCGATATATATATAACTTACGTGGTCATATTTGCGTATTCCGAAGGAAAGTCTAATACAAGAGTTCTGTATTTTTTGAAGTCGACTACTGTCAACACTCAGAAGTGCGGGTTCATAAATGTCACAGTAAGCCAGTTTCGAAAATATGAGGGATTCACAAACACGAATTTTCAGAGCGGAACTCATGAATTGTTTACTTGAATAAAGTTGTTTGAGTGTATTATACGAACCTCGGCAAAGTTGATTGACATGTTTTGTGAACCTCAATTCATTGTCTGAACAGAGTCCGAGGTTTTTTGTTTCATTTTTAATGGGGATTTTTTCCCCACCAAAAACAATGTCGATTGAGGTACTGGCTAGATAACGTTTGAGCTTCGGTCCGAAAAACAATGCACCGGACTTACTTGCGTTCAACTTCAGATTATGTGCTGCAGATACATTCATAGAGGAATCAAGATCAGAATTTAAAGCAGCGGTAACATCAGGTTTCACTTCATTGAAAAATAAGTACAGCTGGGTATCGTCCGCGTAGTGGTGTATGCAGCAGTATTTGACGAATGAATGAACATGTGAGATATTCAAAGAGAATAACAGTGGGCCAAATATTGATCCTTGCGAAACGCCATGACCTAATGCAAGGGTCCCTGAGAATTAAAGGTCATGAACCACTCTCTGCGTTCTTCCGTTCAGGTAACATTCCAATAGTTTCACTGAATCAGGGTGGAATCCAAAGAATTTTAATTTACTAATGAAAACCTCATGATCCATAGTATCAAATACCTTGCTGTAATCCAGCAGGATCAGACAAGTAACCTTTCCTACATCAGTTGATCTAAAAATATCATCAACAATATTTGTTAGAGCTGTGGTGGTGCTAAATCCTCCCCTGAAGCCAGACTGAATCGGTGGTATAATGTGTTGTTTCATTACGTATTCATTGATTTGATTGTATATATTTTTTTCAAATGCTTCAGCTAGAACTGGCAGAAAACTAAAATGGTGGCAATTTCCAAGCCGTAGGTAATGTTGAGTTATTTATGCAATAATTGTATATGTATGTTATATAATCGATAAGAAAATTAGAGATCAAATTGAGCATTTTCAAGGTCACTGAATCGAAGCCCACTGCGTTACTTTTTATTGAGTTTATACATTTAAGCACTTCCACGTTGGCAGTACTAAACACAAAAGTGCCTTTCTGATTATATGAATCTTGCTTATATTTATTGAGTAAGTCTGTATGACCTTTGGTTTTAACAACGTTAGGAATAGTTGTGAAGTGTTTATTCATTGCATAGACATCTATCAAATCATCTGGTGATGTTATGTCAGGGTTTTGATATATAGCCAATTGCCGCAGGGCCTTCCACAAGGTCTTTGGATTGTTTTGATGTGATACATAGTCAAGGTATACTTTTTTCTCACGTAGCAGAAAGCGCAATTGTCTCTCCTGACATTATTATTAACGATGCCAGGGTTTTCGTGGCATTGAATTGAACCTGGTTACTGCCACCAGAATTCGAAATCACATCTAAATCCTCATTAAGATACGTATTATCCTGCTGTTGGTGAAGATGTGAATCTGCTGTTGGTGAAGATGTGAATCTGCAGTCGATGTCCTGGAATCCAAATGTAATGACGAGTCAAGTGTACTGTCGTCAGCAAAGTATAATAAATTTGTTTCTTGGTTTTTTCCAAGTAATGAAAACACTTTCTCAACACCAGAACAAAAATTACGGTCTCTCGACGCGTGTTTCGCTAACCAAGTTAGAGTTCCCAGGACGCTTTTGCTTTTGTTGCAAAACATATTGAAGAAATCAGCATGGGATGTTGCAATTGTCAAGAGCGTAGTTAAGATAGTGCCTAGAAAAATTAGTAACATATCTGCCTAAAAAGGTCATCTGGAAAATAACAGTCATCAAATTTTATATTGGACACCTTCGATATGAACACAATAGTCGTGAGAAGTTCTCTTAATGTCTCCTTCTTTCATACTTATTTGAATGGGCATTTTCTCAGTGGGAAGGTTGAAACGTTTCGCTATCCGCACATTGCATTGCTCAAGATTTACAATGACAACTGAGAAGAGTCCATTACGCTGTTCAGCTGACCATTACCTTTCTAGCAGTGGCCATGAGCGTAACTCAATGATAATATCACTTTTCAGTACAGGAAATCAATGGTTTACGGCAGTTTCTACAAAAACACGTACACATGTAACTAGGAAATTTTATTGATGCACTTATCACTGAAATTCAGATCAACGAGTTTCTTTATGCAACAAATGATCAATAATTATCAAGAGAGTGCCAACGCGAACGGTACTTTAAGTACTACTGCTTGACATGATAGATACAAGAACTCGTCATGTTTGCGTCGAA